TTGTCTCAATAGCATGTTTTAAATTGAAGTTGTCTGAAGTCCTTACCACCAGCTGCTCTTGCAGTAATAAGTAGTGTACCTTTCTTACTGTCCTAATGTGCACAATGTACAGTAGTGACTGCTCTTTCGTCTTTTGTTTTCTTAGTTATGTTCTCTGTATTTTATATGTTTGTGTTATGTGTTATGTGTAACGTTGCTGCCTTCTTGGCCAGGTCAGCAATGTTTGAGGACATTTTGTGCAAATGTTCAGGTTCATATTAGTATTTAGTGCCTCTCCTGTGACATGTCTCCATGCTTTAATGTTCAAAAAGCTCTTTATTCTTCTCATACTGCCTGTGCTGCAGCACCTCTTTTCACCCTCTGTCTGAAACCAGAGCCCAGTCTACTCTCATTGGTTAGCTGGCCGGCTCTGTTGTGATTGTTCAACCGTCAAGAGATGTCCCGCCCCTTAGCCTATCACGTACAATGTGTTGGAGCGCTAGCCAATAGAAGCGTGAGTGTTCCATAGTGATGTCATTATGTTCCAGAAGAAAACAAAGGACATTTTGACCATTGGGGCTCATCCTAATTTTCGGCCTTGATGTAACAATATTCACAATTAAGTAAATGTAACACCCTTTTCACCCCGGTTCCACCTTTCATTTGCCCTGTACGATGGGCGCTGATGAAAATGGGGGATGTTGGCTTATCTGGCGCCCGCAGCTCACAGCCAAAATGCGAGTGAGCGAGGGAGAGAGGGAGGGTGGTACCAGCGCTGTTGTTATTAGAATCTGGTGCCGTGCTAGCTGCTCTAACGGATATAAGAAGAAGATGTTTCTACAATAATGTGGAGGGAGAGTCCTCTCCAGTCAGACTGAGAGGCTGATAAGTTAACTACAGCTCAGTGAGGTAAAGGACTCTCAAGTTCAAATGGTTTGGTCACAATTTATGTAAACACATATTTCCAAGGCACTCCTTTATAATTATTGGGATAAACAGGTTTTAAATCATTCCAATGTATACTATAGGACAGTAACCAAAAATATCCTTTAAAACTGGAGAGATACAAAAAAAATGCATAAATAAATAAATGTTAAGGTAAAATAAGATATGAATGAACAACACAAATAAAATAAGTTACATTAATTTGTTATTGGCTATGGTAGGTTATTGGTTATGTTCACATACTTATTTGATTACATCCACTTGTCTAAGATGACAACAGAGACTTTCGACCCAAACCTAGCTGTTGACTTGTGGATGCAAGCATCTAATCGCAGACTCAACCAGAGAGGAAGTAGTAGGCCTACATCATCAGCTACCATGTCTGACAGAGAGGAAGACAGTGAGGAGAACAGTGAGGAGGGTAGTGATGACAGCTTGTAGGATTACTGGTCGTGCTAATGTTGTCTTGTGTTCACCTCTGCATGTGTGTTCTGTGTTCACCTCTGCATGTGTGTTCTGTGTTCACCTCTGCATGTGTGTTCAGTGCCGTGTGTCTGGCAAATAAAGTCAAGACCCCCTCAAAAGTTACGGTTTATTTCATTTTAAGGATGAGCACCAAGCAACATCTCCAGGTGCTCCTTTGAGAACCAGGGCAAAAAAGTTATGTGTACCCCTGTATATAACACTACAGGAAAGGTAAAATCCTAAAAAGCATAATAAGGCCTGTTTAACTATGTTTAGGATCAGTTAGCAATGCTGCAAAATCTGGTTTGTTGACATCATAAATGTATGTCAACATGAGACTCAAGTACTGTATTTGCAAAGCACCACAAAAGGAGAATATGGCTACAACAAGTGTATGTATTGCTAACAATACTGTCTTCAATATGCGGACAATAATAATACTCCTTTAAATAGTTTCATAAAGACACTACTGTACGAGACATGGTCACGCCTTTGTATTAAATCTCAGTTCTGCCCTCTTTTCCTCGACTTTTCCTCCAGCTGTGGCTGACACAAGCAGATGTGTTGGTTGACCTAGCGCCTTTAAATTACACTCATTTGAATACTGGCGAGGTGAGCCTGGGGACACACAGACTTCAACCAGGTGTGGGTGTGTGAGTGTGAGTGTGAGTGTGAGTGTGAGTGTGTGTGTGTGTGTGTGTGTGTGTGTGTGTGTGTGTGTGTGTGTGTGTGTGCGTGTGTGTCATAGCCTCCAGTCAGCAGTAAAACACTCCTGGGTAGAGTTTTACTGTACGACTACAGCTTTAAAAAATAACCTGCCTGTCACTGGGTTACAATCTACTCAGAATGTAACCTGCTTTATCACGGGATTAGGCCACCTAAGGTCAGGTTAAGGACACATCTCTGCCTGGCTTTACGGTGTAATTACAGCGTAGTAGATCAGATGGCAGACAGACTGTGTCATTTTTGCATTTGATTTGACATTTAACAAGTAGACCTGGCATTGCATGTGCATTGTGGGTAATATGCAGTGGTGTAAACCAGGTACATTTACTCAAGTACTGTACTTATGTAAAAAAAAAAGGACTTCTACTTTACTTGAGTATTTCCTTTTTATGTTACTTTGTATTTCTACTTTATTTCAATTCAAAGGTAAATTGAGTACTTTTACTCGACTACATTTAATTAATACCTTTAGTTACTTTGCAGATTTGGATTAATGATAAACAATATAAATCAACAGCTACACCTGGATTTAATGCATATGCTTCCCAGCAGTACATAAAGTAATTAAAACTAGCTGCACCTTTACCAATTTTGATGAACAGATTAATGCATCAATAATTATAATCAAAACATATCATATATATTATTCTGAAATGGGCCAATCTGCATAATGAGTAGCCTACTTTTACTGCTTTAATTATATTGAGATACCAATACTTTTTTTACTTTTACTTGAGTAATATTATGAATGCAGGACTTTTACTCATAACAGAGTATTACTACAATCTGGTACTTCTACTTGTACTTAAGTACAAGATCTATGTACTTAAGATAAGATCAACTTTATTGATCCCAATTTGAGAATTGTTTTCGTCACCACAGCATGTTAAAACAAGGCAATGCACATAATGTGAATGAAAAAAAGTAGAACAAAATGACATGTCAAAATAGAAAATAAAACTGTAGCTACTAAAAGTAAAATATATACATACTGACAGTGAGATAACAATCAGTACAAAGTCAAATAACGTTATGAATGGCCAAATTACAGCTAACAAAATTAAAAGGTAGGATATTATTTACATTAAGTGTACAAGAAATAGCATACTAAACTAATATGAATACTTCTTGCACCTCTGGTAATATGACTTTGATTTGATACACATTGAGGTGTTTGCATGAAGCCGAAATGAACTACAGCTCCTATTGAATCATTATACATCATAACATTTGTTTTAAGATGTGTATTGAACTCACAACCGCCACTACAACCTTAAAACCACAGTTTTCTTAAGGAAGTCTGGCGTGTCATTTCTCATGCAAAATCACCGTCTCTGTTTACCTTGGAGCTGCGCCGACAGGGACTCCTGGTGCTGCTGGTACTTCAGCGCCGTGGCTTCGGTCCTCTTGAGCTGCCTGTGCATCTCGTAGGACATCATGCCCCCGTACATCATCCCGCAAACCACGGTGAGCAGCAGGAGACACTGGAAGATCCTCCGCTGCCTCCGGGAGCAAACCCCGCTACCCATGTTGGACCCCTCCCCGCTGTCCGAGCGAGAAAACCCCGTCTCTGCTGCTGGAAAAACTTCCCCTACTCAACTTGTAAAGTGACGACTGCAACAACAACAACAACAACAACAACAGCTCTCACTCCTATACCATTTCCAGGCACTGAAAAAAAGTGCTTAAATCCACCAACATATGCATTATTGTAGCAATACAAAAGCCATTAGCGACTTCAAAGTAACCGCTCCAGATTTGCTTCACTTCACTCCTGCAAAGGCGTGTGTGTGTGTGTGTGTAGTTTCCTCCCCTCTCTTGGTTGTTGTTTTCCCCGATGCAATTCAAAGCAGCTTGTGGGAAAAAAGTATAAAAGCTCAAGTCCCCGACGAGGCCTCCATAGCACCTTTAACTTTAGTTACGTGTCAGCCGAGCAGCTGCCTGCCATCCTGGTACAACTCTGAAGGAAGTCCCTCCTCCTCCCCCTAAAAAAAAAGAAGAAATACCACATTTCCCTATCCCCGCCCCCAGGGGGGGGGGGGGCAGGTTTTATCAATTGGTCGCCGGAGACCTCGATCAAAAAACGGCTACAGGCATGTGAGGGTGCGGGGTTGGGACATTTGGAGTTGCCCCATTAAAACGACCTGTTGTGATACTGCTATTGCTATAACATGCAGACAAGGGAAGTAACTAAGTACAATTAGTCAAGTGCTGTACTCAAGCATTTAAAAAGGAAAATAATGTAATTGTACATGCACTACATTTATTAAACAGCACTATATTACCAAAATGCAACTTTAAAAAATCTATATTTTGTACATAAAGTAAATCAGAACGTTGTTTGTCTGCAACAGTAAAATGCTACTTGATGAAACAATGTTATCTAGACATAGTATATATAATTATACACACATAAAGGCATTGTTTCGGCACTTTGATTACTTTTACACTTGAACTTTAAGTACATTTTCCTGATAATACGTTTATTCTTTTACTTAAGATTTTAAAAGCAGGAGTTTTACATGAAGTTTTACAATGAAGTATTTTGACAATAATGTATTGGTACTTTTATTCAAGTAAAGCATCTGAATACTTCTTCCACCTCTGATAACATGCTAAGAAACTGCACAATCTGCACAGGGTTGGGAGGGTTAGTGTAAACATGTAAGGCATTACAATAACTAGTAACCTAGTCAAAAGTGTAATCAGTAACCTTATCTGAATTTCAGAATATAAAAGTAATGTCACCTGATTACATTCAATTTTGGATGACGTCAATATTAAATGCAATGCAAATAAATACAAGAGAAAATATGTTTGTTTTGCTCATAAACGTGTGAGTTTTGTTCTTTTCAGTCTTATTTAAAAATAAAGACTAGACACAGTGTATTTTGACCTTTTTACCGAGTATATATTGCAGTTATGTACATAGTTATTATCATACATACATTGAGAAGACATTGCCAGTTACAATATGCAGTATTTGGCCATGTACACAATCAAAAGAAAATAACATTATACTTTAAAGAAAATAAATACATCTTAGCAGTACAGTGTGACAAAACCCAGTCTTATAAATACTGCAGTTTCTACAGTCATAACATTTTAGTTTGTGCTACTTTGAAAAGTGTTTCCTATCAATTTTAAGGAATAATCAAGGTTTAAATAGTGCAATACAAAAATATTTAGCAAAAATTCAATCTATTGGAAAAAACATATACTCTAATTGCATACATTTACCAAAAAAATATGAATTTACAGTAAAAAATCCCCCAACTTAATTACACTTATGGCATCTACTGACAAACTTAGAATAAAAATAACAGCCAGAAGTAATAACCAATTAATAACTAGGATTTTCTACAGAAATAGTCGCTTTTAAAGTAATTGCATATTTCAAATGTGATTATACAATATGTTTGAGCAAGCTCTTCAAGAGGAATACATTATGTTCACATTAAATGAGGTAGAAAGATATATTACTTTCATTTTGGAGAAAACAGCACTGATCGACAAAATATCCTTTGATATTTGTTCTGTTCCATTTTTGTTCTGCTTGGTTTTCATGTATTTGTTTGTTCAACCGCAACAACAAGTAAAAAGTGTGTTAACAATCAAAGTGACTTGACAAGAGCATCTGCAAACACACCAGAAAAATCATGAGCAAACTAATTATAAGCCTCATTACTTTGACTGCGTCTTTAAGACATCCCATTAATGTCCCTATTCTCAGATACATTTGGAATCATCAAAAAGTAATGACTTCTTTAATGACTATTTATGCATGTCATAATTGTAAATGTTGCATAAGAGGACACCAGATAATGCAGCTCATAACATTTTAGGAATGAGAGAGAAGAAGGTAAAAAGAGAAACTGCTTTTATAAGTAAAACAGAGAGGATTAAAGGGGCCCTATTATGCTCATTTCCAGGTATATATATTTATATTTTGTGCGCGATTGGTTAGCTGGCCGTCTCTGTTGTGATTGGTCAACCACTTAGAGATGTCCCGCCCCTTACAATGTGTTGGAGCGCTAGCCAATAGAAGCGCAAGTGTTCCATAGTGATGTCACTAACTTCCGGAACTTTGGGATTTTAGCCTTAGCCGACCATTATGCACAGAAACCTACATATAAGCACAATAGGGCCTCTTTTAACAAAAATACTGTCAAGACATGCAACTTAATTTAAAAATAAATACTTTTTGACAGTCTCTATAAATAAGATTGTGTTAACTTAAAGAGGCACACGATTATCCATAAAAGTAAGGGAGCTTGGACCACATTCTGAAATGAACAACAAAGATTGAAAGATTTCTTCTTCTGTGGTCACACAATATGAACTTTATGGCACTCAAATACCAAATGGAAAATCGCATTACTACGTCTTCTCATATGATATTGCAATATGACACAGCAGTATTTAAGCACCCTGTCAAACACGTGTAATAAATAACAGGCAGTTCTTCCATAAAGCTTGCATTTGTGAGGAGAGGTCTGGCATTAAGCCCCCCTTCTCTAGGTGTCCCCAGTGGCCAATACAAATATTGTCCCCCACCCAAAAAAAATCAAGTAATCCCAGTGGATAACTGTAACAAAAGGTATTTCATTGATGCTTACTGGCCTGCCTAGAGAAAACCAAACAGAAATGTGCTTTATTAATTTAACTTGAAAAAAATGTTTCCACCTGATATTTCCATATATGGGGTTTATCAAGTTTGTTCCTGCTGGTACTTCAACATGGCTGCATGTAGCTTCTACAATGTCTCTGAAGTTGTCAATAGCCCCAGAGAATCACGGATGAATCAGAAACTGTACATTGGGCAGTCCATGTTTGATTATGGGTCTGATAACAGCGACAGCTCCACCTCTTCACACAGCAGAGGCTCCACCTCCGGCACGCTGAGCAGCTTGCTGCCCTTTGCTGAGCTGTTCTTCCTGTACATCACGAACTGGGCAGTCACCTGACTGAAGTTAAGGAGCAAACACCAACATGATGTGGTACAATGGGTACATGTTTACTTCTTATGTTCATATAAATACTTTATTTTTGTATTGGACATTTTACTTTAAAGGTCACCTATCATGCTATTTTTAGGAAATAGCATAGGTCTCAGATATATAAAAAATACATGAAAAACATGTCTATGAAGTGTTTTGCTCAAAATGCCAAACAGATCACCCATTCTAGCCATGCCTCACATCCCTCTATTTCACTTCCTGTTTCAAAAGTGCTGATTTGGGGTATAAAGCTTAAAAAAAAGGAGGGGGCTGAGCTCATGCAGGAGATTCTACCGGCAGATACTGCGGTGATGAAACGCCATATCATGGATTATCAAGGATCTGAAACAGTATGGAGCTCAAAGGCTTTCTCTCTTGCCGGTTACACCACAAGGTGAGTTCCTTTTTATTTCCTGCTTCTTCACACACATGCTCTCCAGTACAGGTTAGCTCTGAGTGTTAGCGATGCTAATGTAAACATGCACCGACCATATTACGTCCAAAACAGTCGAGCATTGTTTCTGATAGCAAAGTTTCTGATAGGGCCGTGGGTGTAAAACCAGCCTACATTTCCGATATCACGTCATATCGGACGCAAATCTGGATCAGCTCCGTTGTAGCCCCGTTTTTAGAGATTTGGGTACGGAGGAAAATAGAGAGGGTTTTATTTTATGACGCTGCGTGAGTTCCCTGATACACCGGGGACACATCTTTATGTATACAAGACATCAAAAAGTGCATTTTGCATGATAGGTCCCCTTTAACTTCTTACTTTTGGATATTTAAAAAAAATGTATTACCTTTTTATTGCACAATTGTATCTAAGATTCTTATGTTTGTATAAATATTTTCACAGCTTCACACTGTTTTACTGGACATTAGACTTTATTTCTATACATATATTGTTATTGTACATTCGTACTTAAATGTATTAAGTAACACATATTTGTATTATTTCTCTGTTGTGATAAGACATTTTACTTGAAGTACTTGTGTTTACATAAATATTTATATTTTATTATATAGGTGTATGCTCATTTTAAATTCTTATATTTAAATATTTAGGCTTAAAACTTCACTTAAACTATGTTTCTATAAATATCTTTATTTCATTTTTTTATTGAACATTCTTTAATTTAACTTCCAAGGAATATATCATTATAAATATCTTAATTTTATTCTGTTGTTTTAAATTATATATATATCTATTTTTCCACTCTAAACTTGAATCAGTGACAATTGAACCTATTTTCAAGTCTTCAAGTGCACATTACACTTTAAAGGATACAAAGAAGTCCAGTACGATAACCCCCAGGCTGCCGATGAGCCAGGCCAGGTGTTTGATGATGAAGGTCTGCTTGGAGCCCTTCAGCGCGGGAAGCACCACGATGACGCTCAGCCCGTACGTCCCGTTGCCCATCATGGCAAGAGCGAACAACATGTAAGAGGTGCCCTCCGTGGACTGTCGCTGAAACTAGAAGAACAACGGTTTTTAGTATTAAGAGCGGCAGAAATATAGATTATAACCTGTTTTATATTATACATCTTTAAAGTGGGTATCACGTATTTACTTCAAGAGTATGCCATTAGTGGAGCTTCATCTCCTAATGCAGTGGTTCTCAAATGGGGGTATGCGGACCCCTAGGGGTACGTTGGAGTACTGCAGGGGGTACGTGAGATTTATTTTATGTTAATGAAAAAACAAACATAATAAATGCATTTAAACAAACTGCTAATAGTAGATTAACTACTTTATTCAAAAGTATACAGAAACTCTGGATAATAAAATGGGAAAAACAAACGGGGTGCTCTCTTTTCCTCTCCCTCTCCTGACAGCCCGTCAGTCTCGTGCAGCTCGCTGAACCTGTAATAAGTGACCCGACAGTAAAGAATAAATGCATGTATAACTAGTTTAGCTAGTTCCAGAGTAGATAAACTAGCCAAGTGCGTTAGGTCTAACTCTTAGTGTATTTTTGCTCGGCTCAACGGTCCGTCACAGCGGCGGAGCTGTGATCATGCAGAGCTGAATGTTCTCCGTCAGCAGCAGCTGATCTGATCTCTCTCTCTCGCGTCCGGTTATACTTCACTCGCATTTATGTCCAAATCTATCAGATCTAGCTAGTTCTAGTTAATGATATGACTGCCTGCTTATCAAAGGACCTAAACAATAAGCGTTGCTTGGCAACGGCGTGTGGTTGCAAAGTATAGAGCAGCATTATGCATATGTTTATACGAGGAATGAGGGGTCAAAATCCCATGCTCATATATATTTTTTCTCTACATTCCCCACGCCCCAAAATAAATAAATAAATAAATAAATATACCAATTTTAGGGAAAGTAACAAAGTTTGAGCAGGTAGGTTTTATATTAACAGAGTTTCACATATCTCAAAACACAAAGTGTAATAACTGCAGTTGCCTCCCTGTCAGAATGACAAAGATCCTCAGTGAAGCACAAGCCCATGTTTCACTACATTGTACAACTTATTAAAAAGATCAGTTCAATGCAACTAATGTCGTCTTAGTGTTATTGCATGATGTTAAAATTGGTTTGCCATGAATTTAGTGATGGATTGTAAACATTTGAAATGTAGCATTTAAGTGTTTCTCAGTTACTGTTGTTGTTTTAATAAATCAGACACCGATGGTACAGCACTGTACTGTACCTCTTTATATAGGCTTTTCCCTAACAAATTGTTTTTGCGCTGATCAGGGGGTACCTGGCTGACATTTTTTTTTCAAAGGGGGTACATTATTGAAAAAAGTTTGAGAACCACCGTCCTAATGCACCTACATCAAAACCATCAGTCAGAGAAAAAAAGAGAGGTCTCTATTTCTGTATGTCAACCACAAACCATGTTCACTCACAATGAGTTTGCTCTGTGTTTCAAACGCATACACAGCTATTTTATATTTTGTTTGCCATTGACAAAAAGTTAAACCCTGGCAACCCTTACCCCTAGATTCCACCGGGGCCACATGCGCCGTGTTACGGCCGCGCCGCGGCGTTCACAGCTATCGCGGCCACTCTAGTCAATGGGTACTATTCCACCAGACGCGCCGCGTTACGGCTAGAAGCGTCCCAGAAGCGTCTCGGCGCTGGGCTCCGCTATAAATAGGCGGCTGGTCTATTTTCGACGCGAGGCCAAATAGACGCTATCTCCCATAGCGCAATCCCCAAAATAAACACATTTTGCAGACCCTATCCCTCCGTAGTCTTTCAAGTAGGAGAATAAATGCCAGCGTTCTCCTCCGGTTTACAGGCACTGTGTAAATTATATATATAGAATAATTATCATGATGAATGCATTTTTTACCACTAAAATACAGCAACACATCTTTGATTCATGTCGTTTATAACTGGACTATTAAAAGTATGTACAAACTTTGTCTGTACAGAGTAGCCTGTCCAGGAAATATGCACAAATCAACAAAAACTGCGAGCCGGCACGCAAGACGCTCCGCTTCTGAAAGGCGCCCGGTTGGGTATGATTCTGGAGGAGGTCAGACCAAAACCGCAGCACAGCCGGTGAAATCCCGGGTTAGCCTATACATTTCAATGTGTTGGAACGCTAGCCAATAGAAGCGCGAGTGTTAAATAGTGATGTCACTATGTTCAAGAAATAAACAAAGGAGTCAAATTGAGGTGTTTTAGGCAGTGGAGGAGTGTCTGAGAGAGAAACTCCCTCTGGAGGGAACACAGGGATTTTATCCTTTGCAGACCATTAACATGCACAAAAACCTAAATAACACACAGGAAAGGGAAAAAGCCCGAAAAGCAGAACAGAGCCTCTTTAATGGTGTGTTTTTCAGCACAAACAGCAGCGTGTGTGAGTCAGTGTCAGAAAGCATCCATTCAGTATTGTGAAACAGGAGAAACTTTTTAACCTTGACTGAATAATGGAGTTGTATACTCTGAGTTCAGTCTGTCCCCACAAGTGTAAATCACTGAAAAGTGAGTGCCACGTATTACATGTGCAGGACCCAACACTAGGCAAAGTGTCTGCGCAAGTGCTGCTGAAGGTAATCATAGATAATAACAGATAACCTGATGAGTAACTTGTCACATCTTTTGGGACTCCTGCTGAAAAACATGCATGTTCAAGCATGTAGGAGTTCCCACAGGGTAATGCAACCGTATCGATTCAAAAATATTCAGGTAAAGTGTGCGTGTGTGTGAGTGTGAGTGTGAGTGTGAGTGTGTGTGTGTGTGTGTGTGTATGTGTGTGTGTGTGCCCAGGATTTTCTCTCAGCATACTGAGACGATCCCCTCCGGAGATCAGTCTCAGTCGTGCCAGGATGTTTCCGCAGCACAACAGCACCATTGTCTTCAGTGTCTGGTTCTTTTGACACACATAAAAGTGATACACAAACTCTAACTGTTACATAATAAGTTGAGTTTTCCCTGAGATCTTCTATCATGGTTTCAATTAGGGTTGCATACCGGTTCCCGGTATTACCGAAATACCGGTTACTGGCGGCTACGGTATACCGTACTGAAATCAGATCCGGTTTTCGATACTTTTTTTGAATATAAAAGTGAGGCGTAATATCCTTAAACTCGCGCCCAAACCGTCGGAATTACAATGTCAATTTTGCCGTGAAACTCCGCAAACGAGTCACTTTAGAAAATCTAAAGTGTGGCTGCATATGACTGCCAGTCTGAATGGTGGGGTCTGTAACCACTGGAAGAAGTTCATTTCTGGGAAAGGTGGCAACCTCCAACCAATGCTATCTCGTATGGCAAATGTTGGAGAAAATACTGTTGTCTCCTCTTTGGGTGTGTTTTAATGCACTGATATCATGTGTGATTCTGGACTGTGTACGACCTTGCAGCTGCCTCTTTAGGATAGGAGGAGGCAAGGAATTCAGGTTGTTGACCTTTATGAGGAGACAGACACATACTTGTTGTCTCCTACATGTCTAATTTCTATGAGGCGTGAAGGAAGTCCAGAAGACGTCACAGATGACCCGATGCTTTTCCGACACCCGCGGCTGATATTTGCGCCACCTCGATTTACGACTTTGTTATCTCCTGTATTTTGGACTATATAAGCCTAATGTTTTTTCCTGCTCCGTTGAGCGACATACCCCATGTGTGTGAGTTAACCCATATCCTTTGTATGTGATTTAACTCTGCTAAATTAGAACCTGATTATTGATTCTCAACCTGGTGTCGAGTGATATTTTCCTAACAGTACCTTTGTGTTCAGGGAAGCAGCGTGCCAAGCGAGAGAGTGTTCAGTTCAGCAGGTGATATCCTACGCTGTGAAAGGGCCCGTTTGGATCCAGAGAGCCGATATGCTCATCTTCTTGAAGATGAATGCACAAAACTGAACTGTGATGGGATTTGTTTTCTTTCAACAGGCAAATATTGATTATACTGGTGCCATTTTCTTTTTCTATTGACAAGATGTACTATTCACGCCTGATGGTTGTTATAAATGATATTGCAGAATTCTTCGTAGACAACGTGTTTTTCATTGTTTGTTCAGTACTAAAAGGTCCAAGTCCCACAATTGAATTTAATATTCATTTGACATGTTAACTATATCATAAAGCGCTTCATGGGAGTAATTGCAGGATGATTCCATTTTTCCCTTATGCAACATGAAAGTATCACAATATGTATCGGTTGAGTATCGGTATCGTTCAGTGGTATCGTAAAAAAGTCAACGATATGCAACCCTAGTTGCAATGCAAAGTCCACAACTCAAATTTCACACTGACAAATTGCCACTTACGTTTTTATAGAGCTGGGGTAACCGGGAGCTGAGGTAGAACACAGATGCCAGGTATCCACACACATAGCCAGTGATTTCCACTGATTTAGAGGTACTCTGGAAAACATATTAAGGAGGGTCAACACAACGCCTGCACACACACACAGATTCACATGTATACAATACACAATCTACCAACCTTGGTGTCTAAAGAAGCACTGTTGTCTACGATGAGTTTGGGTAAAGTCAGCAGGACTAATGATGCAGAGCCGCACCACATGAAGCAAAGCCACTTCAGCACGGGGCTTTCTACAGATAAACACACACACAAAGACCAAAGAACACGCAATGAGACGCACAAAGACAAATAATAACCTCCCCCAACATCACACAGTATGACTATCAGCTCCTACACATAATGTCTTCAACTGTTGCTTTACACTACACAAATTGAACAGACATGATTTAAATGTAACAAACAGCAAGTAACAACAAAAGTATATTAAAATTAAAAAGATGAAATACATAATAATAATAATATGTACTCTTTTCTTATTCCTATTTCTGGCTGCTACTTCTTCTTTGCATTATTTAATACTAGGGATGGGTATCGGGTTTTAACGGTACTACTACTTTTATCGATACTGCTTATGGATCCGGTCTTTAACGGTACTTTTATCGATACTGCTTATGGATCCGGTCTTTAACGGTACTTTTATCGGTTCTTCTGGAGAGAAAAAAGAAGCTAAACAAATTGTGAACAAAATGTACATTTATTTTACGTTTTAACAAATCGTATTAAATAATGTGATGACAGAACTGTAAACAGAATAGCTGAAACTTTAACAAAATAAATAACTCAGTTACTCATTAACCCATGTTTGTATAATGAGTTAACCGTGTGTGTTGCTGCTAGCATACATAACACCTGACGTGGAAACGTTACTCGTGGATGGGGCTACAGAGCTGCTAGAAAGACGGTCGAACCCGGTGCATTCCTCCGTCTGGATGTGAAGCACTTTTACTAAATGTTTAGACAAATTGCTCGTGTTACCGCCCTCACATGATAAACACTTATTGCACTTTTGGCAACGAGCATCGAGACGGGTAAAGTTTAACCACCTTGGAGCGCTTAGTTCTCCTCGCCATCTCCGCCGTGTGTGTGTTGCTGCATGTAGCAGCTGCGTGTGTGTAACCTGCCCCGCCCCCTCGCACACAGACGGGGGAGAGATCTCTCGTCTGGATTGGAAATATTGAAAATACTAAAGATAATCATAGACGCATTTTGCTGTCTTTTCGCATATTAGAAACGGAGTTGGAGACACTAAAACTGCAATATAATGTTTGTGTAGCATAATACATTTTTTTTTACATGTCTCCAGTACCGATAAAAAGACAGATAACGTTGGAGCTTAACGGTACCACGGTCTTTAATAATTCAGCCCCGGGGCCCGTATAATACCGGGGCTCGGTACCCATCCCTATTCAATACAAATCTGTAAAATAACATTTTAAGTTAACCTGTTTTTCTTTTTTGTATTGGACTTTTACTTATTTTTATATACAAATCTTTATTTTGTATATTGCACATTGATACATTGATAACTTAACTTAAGTTATGTGTGCAATATATATATATATATGCTTTTTCTTTTACTACTGTTATCCGGCTGCTACTTTCTACATTTGCCACTTATTTTATAATACTGCTACTTCCCTTTGTTTTCCTTGATTGCTAACTTATTTGTATTTTATTGTATGATCTGCCTTTTTTTTTTTACTTAAAAGAGTTTTATTTGTGTCTCTATCAATACTGCCCCCCCTCCCTTTGCTGTAACAATTTAAAAGTCCCCTCTGTGGGACAAGTGAAGGTGATTCTGATTGTGATTCATATACAGTATAAGCAGCGTGTTTGTTTTCAACATGAGTCATTAGGCAGTCATGCACTTTTGGCTCTGGTGGTCACAACTCACACTGTAATTACATAACAACTGGAACTGTGCCTGTGTCATCTACGAAGTCAGATTATAATTGATTTTAACAGCAGGAAACACTTCCTCCCTCATGCTTATGCTCTTCATGTTGTCAGGATGTGGCTTACTTCTGCTCGAGCTGTTCTTGATCTTATAGTAAAGAAACTGGGAGATGAGGATCAGGTCTGTGAAGATGTAGAACACCACTGTGATTACCTGAGAGAGGACATGGAAAAAGAAACATCCTTAAAATTAAACCAAATCCTTAGAATGTACCAAATAATATTTTCTGGTTCATGAGTCAAGGAGTTTATATTGTTATAGTGGTTCCTTATAGGGTTATGAAACCTAGAACAAAGGGCTGTCAAACTTAACAGCCCTGTCATTGAGTTCACAGCACAAACAAACACACACACAAACAAACAGATAATGAAAGAGCATGTGTTTGTTTACCTGAATAGGCAGCTGGCTGGTGAGGTAGCAGCCTGCGAAGCTGGTCAAGTCTCCACTGAAGAGGAAGAAGAGAAAGCCAAACGACATGGCCTCCTCCCCTTTACCGTTCCTATAGGCCTCGTACACCTGCCTGGAGAGAAAGAACGCATGGACAAGATATAGTTATTTCATAACTACAAACACTTTCACCTGAATAACTATCTATAAAATATATTTATTATTTGTAATCTAATATTCATATATTATGTAAACAACATCATACAATTGAAGATGGTAAGAATGTAGTGAGAAAGGGCACTGAAATAAAAATGGAATGTCTTACCCTAACCCTACTTTATAAACATGAGCTAGTTGGATTTAGGAAGTAACATTCATATTGACAGTACATTCTAAAGATAAATAAACTATACATGTACAGTTATGTACTTATTGTTATCCAAATTCTAATTATCATAACAATGTTTAAGGTACTAGAACTTTACTTATTTCCATTTTATGTTACTTGGTAATTCTACTCCACTAAAATTCAGAGGTAAATAAAGTCAATAACATGTGTTCCACCCTGACCAGCAAATCAATACATCAACATTTACAATCAAAACAAATAATATATATGATTGGGAAATGGGCCAATCTACATTACTTTTGGAACTTTAGGGATATTTAGATTCCAATACTTTTGTCCTTTCACTTGAGTAACATTTTAATTCAGGACTTTTACTTGTAAGAAAGTATTGCTACACTTTGGTACTTCTACTTTTACTTAAGTACTATATCTGAGTACTTTCCCCAGCTCTTATCTTAACACAGTGGATGTTTAGTGTAAGGATATATGTGTGTGTGTGTGTGTGTGTGTGTGTGTGTGTGTGTGTGTGTGTGTGTGTGTGTGTGTGTGTGTGTTTAACAGTTTCTTGTTGTTATCAGAGGGACACTTCTTGATGCTACTTACGGCAGAGTGGACAGCAGAAAGCAGAACATGGATATGAGTCCTATCACCACGCTGCAGTACTCCCACACATTGTCCACACACTCCTCCAGCAGGTAGAGGATCCACGGGGTCCCGTTCACACACACCAGCCGGCCAGGAGGAGAGCTCCAGTTTCCTGCAGCCACGTCCGCACTCTTCCCGGGGAAACGAGCGGTGGCCATGGCCCAAATGCCGGCTCCGTTCCCCGGCTTCCTGCACGCTGTCCTCGCTCCTGCTGCGACTGCTACTTCCAAATCCGGAGTAGATGTGGTTTAATCTTGCAACAAGCCAATTGAAATGAGGTCTGACACACCTGCCTGCCTCATAAAATAGATCCGTCATTTGACGAGACTGCAAGACAAAACAAACCCACAACAGACATCAGGGAGCTGAACCATGAAAGTATAAAGACAACTGGTTACACTGTGCATTCCTATGAGAGTTGCTCAGTGGCGAGTGAAGCCCAAAATGTAGCGACCGTAGATTCAGAAAGTACCCGTATCATCCAGGATTTCACTACATAGCATGCGCTCCATTAAACCCCGCCTCCGACTTTCCGCTCTCGGCTTTCATCTTTTACCCACAGTCTATGCTTTTACCACATTTTACAACTTTTGGACCATAACGATTTAAATAAGGGCTATGAAATTGTTCGTGATGGGTAGTTTATTTAGTAAAATATGATTTACAGACGTCTCTTTCCCAATATAAGTCAAAGGAAAAAAGTATTGTTGGGCCAAAATTACGTCACATGAGTTGTAGTACCTAGGGGTGGGCGATACTGCAAAATGAGCTAATGCAAAAGTGTTATTATTATATACAGCCATATTATATTTCAGGTTTGAGGTATATATGTTTATAAAGGTATATTTTTCAGTTCCAGTCAAAATAATTCATTTAGATGTGGAATATGACTGTCTGAATAGTCTATATTTCATCAGTCTGCAACATTACTTATAAGTACCACCGTTGGGCCACTACGACAATTTGCTTCAAAGTCTGGCACTTTCTGGGGGCTTGAACTGAACAAGTGAGAACATCTGTTTTATTAGTGATTAACCTCATTATTCTGGAAATCCTTCTATATTGTGATAATTGATGAGGTTCTTATTTTGCTTTCGCTTTTAACACTGTCATTAAGGCTAATTTGCATACTTGAGGATGAGATGCTAACACAAAAAGACGGATAAAAATAGCTTCCGGTGACCACCCACCTGATAGAATGGAATCGAACAATCCTTCAAAGTGTTTATCGGTTCTTTTCAAACTTCTCCCACATCCTTACGTTCCTTTAAGCTGTGATGATGGTATATAAAAAGCACTAAATATACGCTACTAGCTTAATGTTATCCATCGCTGCTGTTACCCAAGCAACCAGCCATCACAAAGGACATCCGGTGAGGATTTTCAAAATGAAGTCCGTTCGAAACCGTTATCAGAATCAGTTTTATTACCAAGTAAGTTTACACATGCAAGGAATTTGCTTTGGTATAAACGGTGCATATACAACACATAAAGTAGATTGCGTAGCAAAAAATAGTACTATTATAAAAGCTATTTTTATAAAATATTTTAAGACCATTATCAACAATAATTGAGAAATACATTACATTACATTGTATGTTACTTGTTAGACGCTTTTATCCAAAGTGACTTCCATACTCAACACTGTGGGCAATCCCCAGGAGCAATTTGGGGTAAAGTCTTGCCCAGACAGGGACACAAGTGGCTCAAACAAAAATGTTTTCACATTATGTAATAACACAACATTCATTTAATCTTCATTATGCATGTTAAAGCAAACAGATATTGTTCTAAACTGTATTAAAGTAAACAGGTATTATCTTGAACTGTATTGAAGTGAACATGTATTATTTGGGACTGTTTTGAAGTAATCCTATATATATAAACCTTCTCACATAAACAGTTTAACTCCTTGTCCCAGATATCAGCAACACACACACATACGCCTCCGCTTATCAGCACGCACACACACACACATACACTTCCCCTCACTAACACACACACATGTTCTTTTTCAAGGTTCTTTCTGGGGCCAATAATCCCAAGCACCAATATATCTGTGTACAATGTTTGATACCAATATATCTGTGTACAATGTTTGATTGTTTAGGAAAGAATAGTTTGTGTGAAACCTTCCCTGGGAAATTAAAGGAGTTGGGTCCGGTGGAAGATAAGAAGTGGCTCTCCACCCCAAAATATGTCCATATATACTGTTGTGTACCCATGCAAAATGCTCCCTGTTTCTGACTGGCTGGTCCCGATATCTGTATCGCACGGCAGTAGAGCGGGGAGCCCGGAGTGCTCAGTTTCAGGGCACTCTGTATTTCGTATTGTGTTTTTTACTGTATTAAAATCAGATTATTGTTATAACTTTTATGCCGGTGTTTTGAACTCCTTCTTTTATTAAATCTGACCAGGCTCATCTAAAGGACGGCGCGGAGCAGAGGTGGGCTTTAAGCCACCACTATTGTGTTTGCTCCTACAATGTACAAATGTAATATTCAAAGAATTAGCAAAACAGTATGTTCAACAGGGAAAAAAATTATTCCACAGATGCTGTATTTCACTTGCTTGTTTGTGTTGATTCAAACTATTACAACATGTTTCCATGTCTTTTTCAGTCTCTGTGTTTCAGATAAATGTGGGAACAGCACATGGTGTAACAACAGTTCCAGACGTCCATCTGCGTGGTTGTGTAAAACAGACAGATATGCCAAGTTCAGTTGACCAATAATATTAAGCCAACAGTGAAACACCCTCTCCGATGCATATATAAAAAAGCAGCCTTTCATCTGTCTCCTTCAGAGTCTCTATCCCATCGAACACTTCAAATAAACTCAACCAACAAACAACCCTTCATCCTGCTCCTGTGACGAAGAGACATCCTCTTCCTGTTGGGTCTTGTTCTGGGTGCTGTGTCTCCTTCAGATGACCCTGAAGTGAAGCTTGAGCGTGGCAGCTGTCCCATGTTCTGGTACTCCTTCAATGGCCGCTGCTACAAGTGCATCACCGCAGACATGGACTGGGCTGATGCAGAGCTCCACTGTGTGTCCCAGGGAGCCAACCTGGTGTCTATCCACAGTCAAGGGGAAGAGAATTTCGTCAAATCACTGATCGAGAACTATGACCCTACTGAGGGATACACCTGGATCGGACTCAGTGACACCCAGAAGGAGGGAAGATGGATGTGGTCTGATGGGTCAGCAGTCAACTTTGTCTCTTGGAGTTAGGAGAGCCGAATAGTTCTGGAAATGAAGACTGTGTCCACAACAACTTTGGATCTCATCACAAATGGAATGATAAAACATGTTCTGTCACTTATCCCTCAGTTTGTGCATCTCGCACAACTTGTCCTTAGCAACTGAGATGTTACATATGTCTGACATATGTCTGACTGTTACTCTGTTAACATGCTTTTGACCACAATAAAGACATGAATGTACACTTATATGTGTGTAAAGAAGTCATTTTTACCAACCTTCATTTCCATGAATGTTATAGATTTACACAGGTGATTCGATTGAATACGATCTCAAACTTAAATGAATGAAAACATATACAAGTGTTTGTGTTTTATGTGTGTATAAATATGTGCATTTTTCTTTGTAACTACATTTTGTATTGGCTGTTAAGAAAATTAACAAGATACAGAAAAATACATCTTGACAATTATTGTTAATTAATTCAAAATAATAATAAAAACAGAGAGAAAAAATACTATATAAACCAATAAATCAAATTAATTAATAAAAAAAATCAGAATAATATCCATCCATCCATCCATCCATCTTCTCCCGCTTATCCGTGGTCGGGTCGCGGGGGTAGCAGTTCCAGCAGAGAGCCCCAAACTTTCTTTTCCCTGGCGGCATCAACCAGCTCTGACTGGGGGATCCCAAGGCGCTCCCAGGCCAGCAAAGAGATATAATCCCTCCACCTGGTCCTAGGTCTACCCCTTGGTCTCTTCCCAGCTGGACGTGCCTGGAACACCTCCCTAGGGAGGCGCCCAGGTGGCATCCTAACTAGGTGCCCGAACCACCTCAACTGGCTCCTTTCGACGCGAAGGAGGAGCGGCTCAACTCCGAGTCCCTCCCTGATAACCGAACTTCTCACCTTATCCCTAAGGGAGACGCCAGCCACCCTGCGGAGAAAACCCATCTCGGCCACTTGTATCCGCGATCTCGTTCTTTCGGTCATGACCCATCCAGAATAATATATATATTTTTAAATATACATGAGGTAATACTCATATCATACTGTCACACTCACCTATCACCACAACAATAATATACATGTTAAGTATAATAATTCTTCCTACATCAAGATCATATAACAGGCCAATTGTATAGATGCTTTTCACATATCTGATCATAAAGACATTAATGTCAAACATCACATTACATTAATACCATTATTATATAATCATTATATAAATAATCATTCACATGTAGCCACTATTGCAACTTCATTTATTAAATTACTATCAATCATAATATATTCTTTCACTTGCGCAGAAGTTCATCAATTGCAAAGTGCATTCCTGAGAATAAAGCATGTTTGTGGTTTGAAGCTTTAAAAGTATTTTGTGATGTTTTGTATTAGTAATTTCCAAGTAACACAAACTTGCACAAACAAATGTTTATCAAATACCATCAGATACAATATGATTTCCATTTATCATGTTATATCCTTTTATAGGAGAAAACTACAGTTTAAAAAGTGCATTTATAAGATGTTTGTGGTTTGAATCTGTAAAAGTACTTGTTTTTGGCCACTTGTAGGCAGGGGCAAAAGTCAGTGTCTTTGTCCTCCGGTGTTAAATGCTGTAATGGAAAGGGAAGCAGAAAGTGTGTGACTGTTAAAGTTATGTTTTAACTTGCTCTGTGAATATACACTGAATCAGAATCAAAATCTGAATCAGAATACCCTTATTCGTCCCACAGAGGGGAAATGTACAGTGTTACAGCAAGGAAACAGAAACATTCGAAGTCTGACACTGTAGTTCAGGTCCAGGAACTCAAATAATCATTGTTCAGACTTACACACAACAACATGCTGACTGCAGTGGGGTTTGAATCTGGGTCCCCCTGATCCGAAGTTCCGAACACCAACGCACTAGTACACTGCGCCACTGCCGCCTCGTAAAGACTTATAAAGACATAATAAATAAAGACAATATTTACACAACATATACATATTTGACAGACTGAGTAAAGTAAAATATAATAAAATATCACAAATACTATATACTATATTTAAGTGGAGAGCTGTGCAGATTTAAAAAGAGGTAGTTTTGAGCAGAAATGTGCAAAATGTTACATTACATTTATACGCGTGAACAAATAGATCAGGCCCAGTCGTGATTCGTTTGTTAATTCTAAAATGTAAAGTCTCATTAACCCTCCTATTGTCTTCGTGTTCCCCCCCTTACTTTGGTGTTCGCGGTCAAATTTGACCGGTCCTGGCTGGGGAAATACCACCGCCTACTGATCACAGTGCAATCTTAATGGACACACCACAAACTATTGGAAACAATTAATATATTTTGGTATAGCATTTAATAATTCAACAATAATACCACTGCTACTGCTCCTGCAATACCCATTTATATTGATTATAACAACAACAGTAATAATAACAACATGTTTATATGTTTAACTGATCTCAATTTTAAATATTTGTATCAAAAAGCTAGAGTAAAATTGTAACAAAGGACGTCTCGTAAAAATGTATAGACGTCATATTACAAATAACTGCTATCATGGGAGAGTTATAAACATTTAAAAAGGAGTTACTCAAAATCTGAATCTGGCTTATTGCCAATTTAGTTTTTTACATGCAATGTAATACATTACTTTTGTGTATTGGTGTAATAGTTACAATAAAAATATAATAAAAAAATATACATTTAAAATAAATATAATATAAAGAATTGTAAAAATACGTTAAAAATATAAAAACATATTTACAATATACTTGGATGTGCAAACAAATATTCCAGAGGACGTGCAAAGAATACCAATGATATGGAATATTAAAAGATAGACCTAATTGTCCAACAATATGTACATTAACACAACTCTTAGAAAGTGGAAAAATTAAAGATACTAACAAGTATACCAAGTTTCTTTGGTATAAAATGTCTATACAATAATTAAGAAGTTGAATGGCTTCCATGCAGCCTTTAGTTAAATAATGCTTACTTTGAATACATTACATATAATGTTATAAATTGTTGAATTGGTACTCTGGTGTGTAATATTTAATATTGCATGCCTCACATACTTATGTATAATAACTTGCTTTATATTTGTTACTGTGCATTTTGTAATTCAACATGTATATATTTGTTGTATTGTACAATGCCATGTATTTTTATGCTGCTGCAACACAAACATTTCCCAAATTGGAATCAATAAAGTACTTCTTATCTTATCTTATCTTAACCAGCTCAATAAAAGTCATAGCTAATTTGACATATCACAAAGGTTATAATGGGCTGTTTCCTATGTTTCCCGAGGACACTTGAAGGCAGCATCCCAACCCCAACCTGCTCTGGCCATGGATGTATAATAAGAACGTTCTGGTCCCTCCCTCCATCCACCTGTTGCAAGGCGCGCTCTCGTCTGCCGCACGGTGGCGCGCTTTCCAATGGTGGCCGACGAGGATGATGATGATCTCTCTGTGGGGGAACCTGAAGCTGGGCAGGCGGAATGTGTGTGTTGCTGTGCCGCTACAGACGGAGCGGTTTGGAGGGACTGACCGAAGCGTCCTCGTCTTGCAGGTAAACCGTCCGATATTGTAGGTTTTAAAGTGTTAGAAATTAGAATTGTGTTTTCTTGTTGCATGGCATTTTAGCGTTTACAGACAGAAACGCGTTGCTGGGATAAAGGGAATGAATGCCACCCACATTCCCTGATGTCGGGAAAGTTGTCTGGATGAGGGTGAATCAGCTCTCTCCTGCTGGGTAAAAATGCTTTTTCATTGTTAACTGAAAGCATGAATGGACAGAGGAGTGTGCAGGTGGATTGAATATGGTATTTCGTGTTTTTGGCGATGAATGCAATATAGGGACGAGTTGATTATTGCATAATGCAGTGTAAAACAGTGTATTTACGCGATAATGCTCGTGTAGAAATACGATGCACTGTAGAGGACACACGTGCTGAATATTTTTTAGGTTTATATGGACAATTTTTACCCTTTATTTTACACCTGCTGTACTTTCATGTCGCCTCTCACTCTCTCTCACCCATCTCTCTCTCTGTCTGTGTGTGTGTGAGTGCGTGTGTGTGTGTGTGCGTGTGTGTCTGTGTGTGTGTGTGTCTGTCTGTGTGTGTGTGTGTGTGTGTGTGTGTGTGTGTGTGTGTCTCTGTGTGTGTGTGTCTGTGTGTGTTTCGGTGGAAATACAGAGGAATGTGTGCTTACAGCTTGAAAGGCAAGTTCAGTCGCATTACTCACATCATTTGGTCTAACATTTCTGGTTATGCTCTGGAAATCTACTGTTGCTCCAACTATGTGTGTGTGGTTGTGTGTGTGTGTGTGTGTGTGTGTGTGTGTGTGTGTGTGTGTGTGTGTGTGTGTGTGTGTGTGTGTGTGTGTGTGTGTGTGTGAGTGAGGGGGGCACTCCTCAAGGTCACAGACAGATGTTGATGTCTCAGGCAGTTTCCTGTTATTATTTTCCTGCTTTATTTCCACACGAACAGGTATTAAATGATATTTGTTCACCTCCATTGTGAATGAAGTTTACTGTACAATACCATTCTCTAATTAATGTAAAAGGTGCATTCCATCCATTCATTCATGTATTTGACTCCTTTTTCATTCCTGCCAACTCTGTCATGTCCACCAGTTTATCAGAGAGCAGCACAGACGCTCAGATGCTCATGAAGAACATAGTTGTTATCCAGGAATGAGAAAGCAAGTTATTAAATGACTTCTAATTTTAGCAGCAAATTAAACATGTATTAAGGATCTATATATGAAAGCAACTCACTATCACGAACGAGGTCCTAATATTTAATGCGCTGACTTTTCCCCCTTAAGCCTGCACTCCTGGGTCTCACCGGTATGTGCTGAGAGCAGAAAATGCTTCCGTTCAGCCCTGGAGAGGAGTTTGGGCAGCATCGGGGAGTAATGAATAATAAATGGTTCAGAAAATGTGTGGATGTTAGTTGGCTGAGTGTTACGGTAATACACCGGCACATCCTTCTTCTGTGGAAATCCTCTGTGCAGTCTGAGTCTCACAGCGCAAACTTTAAAGAGGACACACAAACACACACACACACCCACACATACACTTAAATCCACACACAGAAAAGCCAATTGAAAATAGTCTTTAAGGACCTTCTATTATTTGTGTTATAATATTTGATATCCCTGTCTGGGACATTTCACCACGTTAAAAAGCAAAGTGGGTCCCAACATGTATTTTTGCATGACAAATCAGGGAGTTTATGAAGCAATTCTCTAGTTTATGTATGATTCCGATTATTTAAAAAAGGTTATATGCTCATCTTCAGGTTCATATTAGTATTTTGTTCCTACTGTAACATGTCTCCATGCTTTAAAGTTCAAAAAGGTCTTTATTTTTCTCACACTGCCTGTGCTGCAGCACCTCTTTTCACCCTCTGTCTGAAACCAGAGCCCAGTCTGCTCTGATTGGTTAGCTGGCTGACTCTGTTGTGGCTGGTCAACCTCTTAGAGATGTCGCGCCCCTTAGCCTATCACCTACAATATGTTGGAGCATTAGCCAATAGGAGCGCAATTGTTACATAATGATGTCACTATGTTCCGGAAATAAACAAAGGAGTCTAATGGAGGCGTTTCAGGCAGGGGGGGAGTGTGTGGGATTGGGGATTTTAGCCTTTGCAGACCGTTAACATGCACAAACACGTTTATAACACGCTAGAGGAAATTAATGGATTACATTTTTTTAAGATAACCCTCCAAACCCTGTTCAATGCACATCTTGTCTTTCTGCAGTGAGACATCCATAAGTGTCACATTAAGTGTTCCTGTGGTCTGGAGCTCTTATCAGCTGCACCATGACCACTCAAGAGAGAAAGTGAGATATTCACTCTCTCCCGTCATGCTCAGTCTCTGCTTTCTGTCTCCATATGTCCCATTCGGTCTGACTTTATCTCTTCAGTCTGCTCTTACTGTAGTTATCTCCTGCAGCTCCTGTCAAACTGTAATTCCCAATCGTTGCTCTGCAGCTGCATTACCTCCGGGCATGAATAATGGAGAGCTTTTCCTTTGGTCCCACACTCATACGTTATGTTCAAACCCCGGGGTCTATCTTTCAAGAAGTATTTACTGATTTCTCTTTGGCAGTGTGGATCTAGTCCCAGAGAAATCTTCAGGGAATCTCTTCTTTGTGACTTATTCATCTTATTTATTCATGAAATTCATGACATCAGTTACAGTGATTGGCCCAGTTGTAGGGAAACTACCAACTTTACCAGCTTTTAGTCCCAATTGTACCATTAGTATGGATTACAGAGTGCTGCAGGGAGGACTTATTTCTGTAGGCTCCCTCGACAAAAAGCCAATGGGATTTTTCCATTGGATTTCAGTATATTGTAGAAAATAATCTCTGGTGCTCATTTCCACAACTTTGTGATTTTTGAAGCATGAATGATATCGCTTTAAGTCAAAATGTAACGTTAGGCTATAAAGTAACAACATCACGGTCACATTACTTCACGTCACCACCGCTAAGCTAAAGGCGGCTAATGTTCGGCGTGATTACGTTTAGTATCCCCATTTAGACATTTATTAGCAACCACCGTTTTTTGTACATTTATAAGCTTTGGAGATTCACTAGTCGGTATTTACTGACATATCTTATGTTGTGGAACAAAACATGAAAATCTCTTCAGCTTGAATTAACAACAGACCTTATTTAAGGCTTCTAACTACAAACACTTTCACATCTGTAAATCAAGCTAACTAGTGTTCTCTTTCTCTCTACATAGCTAGCCAGCTTACATGAGACCATCTATCAAGCTAACTAGCGAACGTTATCTATCTAGAAAGCCATCCTCATATAGGTGGCTATTGTAATTATAATGTAACACACTATGGTTAGAATTGCAGTGCAGACCTGTTTCTACCGTTCAGGCAGTGAGAGTAGTTATACAAACATTGTTGACATGTTTTTTGATAACCTGACCAGGTATACTGTAATACAGCCAGCCTCCTCAGAGCTCCAGACATCACTTTCAATTCTCAGATTTACGTTTTTTGGATATAATTATCAAATATTGGTAATCAAACTCGTTCGTCTCTTGCTTGAAAAACTGTTTTAACTTAACAAAAAGTTCATTCAAAGGCTTAAAAACGATTTATTTGGCAAATAAGGGTTGATGAAGCTGCCAAATGACTTATTAATGAAAAACTCTTTCCAACCGAGTTTGAACTTCTCCATTCCTTCTTCCTCCCCCTTACTAATAAGGATATGCATAAATAAAGACTGAAAGAAAGATATGAAGCAGTTATGAAACAGGAATGCAGTGCTCTTTTCTCTCCCTTTCACTCTGCTCTTTTCTGAAGTATGTGAGTGTGTGTGTATGTGTGTGTGTGTGTGAGCAGGTGCACATTACACAGAAGGATAGGGCCGACCGAGCAGAGAGAGAGAGAGAGAGAGAAAGGGGGGGAGACGGGGGAAGGAGGTCTGTCTTATAGGTCATACAAAAGAGCCAGTGTTTCCTCTCTCAGAGCGCTGAGTGAAGACAGCGCTGGAGGAGAGAGGCCCTTCGGTCACATTGTCCTCACATAGCGCCGGACCCTCTCAACCCTCACCCCCTGCACACACCCCCCTGTCACCCCCTGCTCACACACCCCTGTCAACCCCTCACCCAGTGGCCCACTACCCGCAGCTCTCCTGCAACATGTTGGTGTCTGCTAGAGTTTTACATACAATCAAATGTAAGGATATTGCCAACAAAAAACGACTACCTACTGCTAGCTATCATAGCGTGTTCGTGCATTCGTGCGTGCATTTGTTCGTGCATTCGTGTGTGTGTGTGTGTGTGTGTGTGTGTGTGTGTGTGTGTGTGTGTGTGTGTGAGAGAGTGTGTGTGTATGTGTGTGTAAAGACTGCATTCCTGAGCTTGCTGAGCCGTAGCTGGGTGATTAATAGTAACTAGCTGATTGTTTAAGAACTGAAATTCCTCAGGTTCGTTTTTTTTCCTCTGGTTTCACTCACACACACACACACACACACACACACACACACACACACACACACACACACACACACACACACACACACACACACACACACACACACACAGTTACAGATAGTGGCAGCTTGTTTCCACCTGTACATGCTTAACAGTTAACTGAACAGCACATTTGAGTTGCGTTATTATTACTTGTGTGTGTGTGTGTGTGTGTGTGTGTGTGTGTGTGTGTGTGTGTGTGTGTGTGTGTGTGTGTGTGTGTGTGTGTGTGTGTGTGTGTGTGTGTGTGTGTGTGTGTGTGTGTGTGTGTGTGTGTGTGTGTGTGTGTGTGTGTGTGTGGCTTTTAATGAGGCATTCAGGTAGAATAATGGAAGCTCAGTGTGTGTGTTATCTGCAGGTTGCACTGGGAATTCAGGACACAGAAACCTTATCCACCTCTGGCTTTCTTCTCCCTCTGACTATCCTTCCTCCTCTCCTCCTGGTGTCTGTTTTCCTGCGTGTTTTTTTCTGTTGTCTTTCTCTGATCCTCTCCATCTGTCCTCTCTGTCCCTTCATCTTTCTGGATTTCGATTTTCCTACTCCAAGCTTGTGATGA